GGCGAAGGCGTCCGAGGCGGAGGCACCGCGTGGCTCCAGGAGTCCACTCCTTCGCAGGCACAGGGTCGGTCTATTCGGAAGCTTGTTTGGGGTCTGCTGGAATTGGTGCCACCCGAAGTGAATGTAGAGGCCCCTCATTCCAGGCTAATTTCGGAACGACGGGAACAGATCCCCAGCAGGGCGCCCGAAGACCTCGACGACAGCTCCCGCCGCCACCGCCGCCCCGTGGACCGCCACCGTCAATGGCCGAGCAGATCCGGATGCAGTACGAGGAGCCCGCCTCCGGATCCGGATCGCCGCCCGAGCCCGAGCCCGCCTCCGGATCTGGATCGCCGCCCGAGCCGAAGGTCGCCTTCAAGGCACCTCCCCCACACCTCTATGACAAGGACGAGGGGCCGATCCAGAAGCCGCCCGAGGAGGTCGCCTCACCGGCCAGGGAGCCCGAGCACCCGCCCGAGGCAGCGGAGCATCTGGTTCGCAGCTCAACTCAAATTAGTTAAACAGTTAAGTTTTCTGAAGTGAGCAGCGGTCAGTGTCAGTCATGCCTTTTTTGCCAGATTCCACGTCAGGTGGAGCGGACGGCGGAGGAGGAGGAGCGGGCGATCATGGCGACGCATCGGCAGCGTCTGGCAGCCCGAGCCCAGGCGGAGGAGAAGGCCAAGGCGGTGGCGAAGGCCAGGGAGATGAGGGCCGCCCGAGCTCGGACCAAGGGCAAGGGCAAGAGCAAGGCGGCGGGCAAAGAGGAGGGCAGCGAGGACTGAGCCACGTCCGGTCCAAGTCCTGCCCGAGTCTTGATCCGGAGCAAAGGTAGATTTTGTCCGAGATGGCGGCTAAAATTACATACATAATTAGTACCTCATCAGAGCTGCGATGCTTTAAAGAATTGCACAGGCAATGTGAATTGGATACTTATTAACTTATGCATATGCAAGCATTCTACAGAAGCAAGCTCATCAATCATCATAAATCAGTCGCCCGAGTGCAAAATCTCTTTTGCCTCCGTGAAGGCACGGCTTTTGTGCAGTCGGCATAGCCGCTGCATCTTGCATCCGAATAAGCGCCGTTCGCCACTTGCGGCGAAAAAAGGACCCGTGCAGCTTGCAGGAAGTGCTTGTTCTTGACACCTTCAGCGGTCACAGACTTTGATTTGACCTGGTCGCAGGTGACGGCATGCCCAATGCAGACCCGTCGCGAGGCACCCAGCGTTGTCGTCCTTGGATTTCTCGGATGGTTCTGATGGGGTTTCTTCCGGATTGGGGAGTCTCTGCCAATAAAAATGAGACAGACAGAGAAGCAGCAGCAGGCAGAAGTCGTCCGAGAGGTATCCTTGAATTCAAGTCCTCGACAAGAACGGAGTAGGAGTAGTTTCAGTCCAAGCTCTGTCGAATCTGAGGCGGGACAGCAGCCTGGTGCCATCCGAGCCGAAACACGTCCGAGGCCCTTGCTGCAGGTTGGAGTTCAGAATTGTCAGGCATGCGAACTTATGTTACAAGTTTGGATGTAGAGCCGCATAGCAAGGTTCTTGTAACTTTGAATAATACGTGACCAGACAGCTCTGCGCCGTGACTGCGTGGAAGCCCCTCTGCGCCGTGACTGCGTGGAGGCCCCTCTGCGCCGTGACTGCGTGGAGATGCTGGTCGGCGCAGGCACTGCGTGGAATCCTGTAATTAAAATAATATGAAATAATTAAATTATTATTACTTAATTAATATTTCTAATAATATTAATTCGGATATGAGTTCTAAGAATATGAGTATTGCTAGAAGTATTGCTAGCACTTAAATTATTATCATTTCTCGCATTGCTACGAGTGCTAGTAGCATTAATAGTAATATGAAATAATTATTAGTAGTAGGAATCTTATTATTAATAATAGTTATAGTAGTAGTAGCACTAAATATTAGTAGCAGCACTGGTAGTAGTAGTACTTGTATTAATCGTAGCATCAGTACCAAAGTACCATTACAAGTGTTTGTAATAGTACTACTAGTCATACAGCAGCAATAAATAATTGGATGCCATTACTATGAATAGATATAGTAGTACAAGTAGTTTTATAACTATTGTTACGATTATTATTATTACTACTATTACGGCAACTACTAGTAGCATTCAGCATTACTTGATAATTATTATTGTTAGTATTAGTATTACTGCTAGTATTAGTACTAGTACAAGTGCTAGTGACAGTACTACTACAATGAGTTTTATTATAGTAGTAATACTAGTACTACAAGTATTAATTCTAGTAGTAGTATTTCTAGTAGTAGTTGTTGTATTAAATTTAAATCAGTTGTATTAATTAAGTACTATTACAATTATTCATACTAAGTGCTGTTTAATATAGATGTAATTCATGCTGCCACCAACTGCTGCGCAGTCACTGCGTGGACCCAGCTCTGCGCCGTGACTGCGTGGAGCAAGCTCTGCGCCGTCACTGCGTGGAGAGCTGAATCGGCGCAGGAACTGCGTTGAATAGTCAAACAGAAGAATACTAAACAAAACAAAAATCATCATAGTTATGCGTTTTAAACAATAAGCGAAGTTTTCTTTGTGTTTGCGAAGACTTCAATTGCCTTCGTATTCGCAGTAAGAGTAAAAAATAACAGTAATAAATTACAACTTGGCTAATTTTCACAGAAGCAGCATTACCCAACCACGTCGTACCGTATTACAGAACCAAAATCTGCGGCGTGATTGCGTGGAAGTTTGACACATAGTAAAATAAGACCACAAATCCGTCAGCGGTGCTGCTCGTTGTCCTGGTGGTAGTAGTGCTATTCCTGCTGCTGCTGGTAAGGGTGGTGCGACTCGTGGTAGTTTTAAGTTTTCTTAGTTTGAGCAGTACAACTTGTCGTACTCGAGATGCTCTAATCCTTGTAGCAGCAGTACTCCTGCTAGTTCCATTCCTATTGCTACTGGTGTATCAGGCATGAAAAAAAACAACTCTTGTACTCTTCCAGTAGAACAGGAATTCCAGCAAGACCGTACATAGTGGATTCCTGGTCCATATCCAATGAACATAGAGATGTCTCCGGCAATCCATCCTCTAATTTAACCATGCGACAGCATGACAAAGGTGCTGCAGCCTCAATCTTCTCTTCCATATCCCCCATTCTCCGCCTTCAAGCACCCGAGCGTTTTCCAAAATAGAAACCGACAGTATTGACACAGTATGGTACGCCCTGGCGGCGTGTGTTTTCGAGGTTGCAGGTTTCAGTCGTTTTCAGGATGTTGACTTTGTTCTTCTCCATTGCATGCTTCTAGGTAGGCCTTTCGTTGTGCTGGCAATGTTATTCTCTACTGTATGCCTGTAGGTATGTCTTTCGTATGAGCGTTTCTATCTTGTGAGCTACGTGTTTGCTGCAGTACGAAGTTACAATATAATTCTCCATGTACGGCTGCTCAGGCCGAGCTAGAAGGGCCCCTGGTGGGGGGGGGGGGGGGGGGAAAAAAAAAAAAAAAAAAAAAAAAAAAAAAAATAGCATATCCTTATTTTTTTTTTTTTTTTTTTTTTTTTTTTGGCGCCCCCCCCCCCCCCCTCCCCAAGAAACCCCTGTCATGCCCGGCAAATCCTTGTATCCGAGCTGTTGTATCCTCACATATACCCTAAATAATAGCGTTTCAGGTCGCGACCTCAACTTCAGCGTTGGCGGTGCTTGGCTTTTTTATCCGTATATGTACTGCACTTACCGTAAGCTTACACATATTTGCCGCAGAATTTTCCTATTATCCATCGAGTTCCTATCTCACGCGCGCGCCATGGTTCGTACGAAATGCTCTGGATGTCAGAAGTGGGGGCGGGATCGCTGCACCTGCCCGCCGAAGCCGAAGTCCAGTGAGTCTCCGAAGCCACAGTCACCGCATAGGCAGCCGACATCTTTCCCTAGCCGAACGCGGCCTACTTCATCAAAGGCATCCCGTCCGTCTAATAAACCGTCGACTCCACGGAAAAGTTCCACAGCTACGGAGCTCGAGTTGGAGCGCACTCGTGTAGAACGGTTGCGGCTGGAGAGTGAGAAAGCTGCAAGAAAGAGAGCACGTAAAGCCGAGAGAGAGGAAATCGCCGCGCGTGTCGCCAAGACCAAGTATTGGAGCGGGGGGCGTTGGTCGTCTAAAGGACGCAACGAATCCTGGTCGAATACTTTTTGGTCTCAGCACAATTGGTTCTCCAAAGGAGAAGAGCCAAACTGGAAGCGCAGCCGCTGCAGCGCAGTAGCCTTTCCCGAGTCAACTTTTCCGCCTCCTGGTCTCATGTGGGATGAGGCCGAGTTGAGTGCATATAATGATGGCTGCAACTAGTTACGCTTGCGAGCAAAGGCAGAAAAATCTGTCGGTCAGTATGCACTGTGACGGCAATCTAGGCGTATGACGATGTGTACATTACTGTTATATGTTCTAGTTTACAAAGCCGAGGAGAGACAGAAGCCAAGGACAGGGGACAGAGAGGGACAAAGGGGGACAGACGGGGGACAGAAGAGGACAAAGGGGACAAAGGGGGACAAAGGGGGACAAAGGGGGACAAAGGGGGACAAAGGGGGACAAAGGGGACAAGGGGCGAAGGGGACAGACACGAAACAAGAGAATAGGAACTGAAGGAACAATAGAGACAAGGTACAGGGCTCACGATGAGGAAGAGGATGTACAGCAGCAATAGGAAGGCTCTAATACGGCATTGTACATATGCACGTCTTTTTCTCACAGGAAGGTAATTCTTCACGAAGGATGCCCTTCTGCATCATGCTTTTCTTGCTACTGGAATGTCATCCATCTTCTTCCTGATCATCCGTCTATTTGTCTTCGACTCAGCTCAGTCTCTTGTCGCATACCAACGACCTGGCATGTCCGTGTAGTATCGTAGCCTATGCATGGACATTCCATCCTTGTTGTCTGTTAATGCCTCAGCATTTCTCGAGCTTTCAAGCTACAACTTCATTCGCGCGTCCCTTGTCGTCAGTGCTGACATGTCCAATTCTTTGGAGAGTCAGTTGGAACATCTCATGCAGGAGGAGTATCCTCACATGGCGGGGTCTTCTCCTTCACCTCGTCCAGCGAAACGTCTCAGAGGTGCAAATCTGTTGGGGTCTCAGACGCAGATACCCCATGCAATGTTATGCAGGTCCGAGCATATATCTGTGTACTTCTTACTTTGTGTCATGATGAGGTTTCGCGCCTTCTCTGATTTGGAGATCGACCCTCCTGCCCCACATATCTTGGCGCCGGCACCCGTCAACCCGAACGCGATCACAATGCCAGCCATGTACGAGCACTACATGCAGTGGGGTCGTAACTCCTTTCCGGACTTCGCACCGGAGACCTGCAAACTCGTGTCCATTGCCAACTACATCTGTGACATGGATGCCGCAAACTATTGCATGTCTAACAAACAGAAGCTTATGTTGGCTATGTTGATTGATGGCCATAACTGGAGGGCTCATTGTCGACAAGCTTTTCGGTACGAGGACGGTGCTTGGGTTCGCTGTGAGAACTTGTCCATCGATGCATGGGATTTGCTGATGGCCTTGGAGGGCTTGTTTGTTCAAGTCTCTCTGGACTTGGCGGCGGCAGAGCGAGAGTCCCAATGGAGTTGGGAAGCCGCCGGCGCCGAAGTGCTCAATGTGATTCGACATCTTCTTCAACAGTCCGTGGATGTGATTAAAGAGCTATGTGGCGTCGCCAAGGCTAACAGTGATCATCTTCGCAAAGCTACAGGAAACAAGGCGTGGCATGCCAAATGGTCTCGCCGTGTCGCCGATATGCTCGCTCAATATCGGAAGACATGGGAAAGCGAAATCTCCTCAAAGCCTCTAACAAAGTTGTTTCTCTTGGAGTGGGATACACCTATGCCTAGATCGACAGGCGTCTGTTTCACGGACGTGTACCTCGACGAGAATTGGGATGTGGCTCCGAAAGCACGTGATCGGAATTCCTACTTGAAACTGAACTACCGCTACCTGTATGAACATGTGATCGCACAGAACCCCAACATTGATATCAACAACTTCCGTATCAGGCTTCGTCTCTTCCTCGAGTCTCTGTATTACAAGAACGAACATGGATTCCAAATCAAGTTGTGCTTCCTCCACGCAGCCTTCAAGCGAGTATGCACTTCCAGAATGATCTTCCAGATCGGCAAAGGTGGCGATGGTAAAGGAATGGAGGCAATATTGGATCGCACCTTGTTCGGGGACCTTGCTTCCTCCACATTGGATTGTGGGGTCTTCTTGGACCGATCGGAATTCCGCAAATCTGCGGAGTTGGCATGGAACATGGCCAATGTTCGCATCCAAGAGATGGATCATAAGTCTTCCTTCCATGCCGACCTATGGAAGCGATTCGTAGTTGACGAAGACATCGACTGTCGGGTCAACTACGGCTTCACCACTAAGCGCAAATTTGGTGAGAGCTTGAAGGTGCAGGAGTTAAACTATGACAACATACCCACAATTGAGGAAGCTCGCGATCGCAACAAATGCTGCCAGCAACTGGAGAGACGCATCGTGTGTCTTCGCATGGGGAAGGGGAAACTCGTCAGTGATGTCAATGAGGTGGACACAGACAACGGCGTCTTCCTGTTGATTCCACAGGACGAACTATCTGCTTTCCTATCACATGAGATAACGGCCGCCCTGTTCCTACGGGAATACTGCATTCCGTTCTTCCAGGAAACGTCGTTAGCAGAGTCTTTGAGAATGATCAACGACCTCGCCGGTGTTCATGCCGATCTTGTTCGTGATACCAAGTGGCTAGCTTCACGCCTTGCGGGCGGCAATGCTCCGCCTCCTGGAGACGAGACGGATGATGTGAATGAGTTCAATAGACTAGTC